CTTAATTGTCACAGAAGCACACATAACGTCATATCTAATATTTAAACAAATAATTTCCTTGTCCCTAAAGCATTGACTACGCTATTTTTCGTCATTAAATGCAGGCATTAAGTTACATGTTCACGTTCTGCTGCCACAATCAGTCGGTTTCTCCGGTGTAATGATAATAAAATGCTTAGTAAGTATTGGTAATAATATTAATAAAAACAACAAGGTTTGGGTTTGTTCGTTTATTATGATGGTAACGTTAACCAGTAAGCTTCAATAATCAACTCCAGCTCAACAAACCATATTGCAATATCTACGTTAACGTTATTTCTGGAACCATCTGGAAATGTGAGATTCATATTTTTCAGATACACAGATCTTATAGTGAGGTTAATCTCATATACAGTACGCTGCTCTTCAACACTAATGTGACGTTAGCTGTCTTCATCGTCAAGCATAGTGAATTTAAATCAACAATATCAATGCATACAGTTACCTAACTAGCAAACTAACTAATGTACGAGGATGACCTTATTTTACCAACCTCACACAGAAGCCGTTTGTTTTACAGTATAATCCTTCTTAATGTTTTACACTTCTCTAATATGTTTTAACTTGTATGCTACGGATAGCATCATTAGCACAGATGTAGCTTAGCTGAATAAAAAGACCAGTAAGAAATAAAGTGCTTGAATTTCACTTACCGAAGAAACTGCATTCAGGGACGGTCTGTTTTAACCGCAGAGCAGTGACGTGCACAGGTACGGGCTATTGTTGCCCGGGCAACAGCCCGTTTGCGATTTTTGTCTGACCTGCCCCTCTGGAGAGAACGAGAGTTTTTTTTGTTTTCTATTGTGGCCGATTCAACATGATAAGCCCACAATTAGTATTGTAGCGTCTCACTGCGATAAAAACACAACTTGTCAGTGCTTTCATCTGCCCCTAGTCACGTGACTTTGTTTACAATCTGACAGCTGGAAGCAAAGGAAAGCCCTCCGAGGCTCCGAGTCCGGCCTCATATGGCTATGGTGATCACACCAAATGGCGTTAGAGTATAGGGGACAAACCAGGGGACTTTACTTCCTCTTGACACCGTCGGTTATTTACAAAAAAAACACCTAAATATACTTGTTATTGTGCTTTTGTCTTTCTGTGTCTTTTCATCTGCTCCGTGAACTCCCTCAACGGGGCCGCTCACTCTCTTTTCTTGATTGCCCTCTCACGGGAGAACACTTCACTGTCCCGCTTTATTGTAGGATTTCTGCCATGTCTCTACTTTAATTTGACCATCTCTGTTATTAAGTTATGGAATTCTAAATAAGTAATGAAATACCTTACCGTTACTGCGCTCATAAAGAATGATAAGAATAATGCGTATTGAACTGGTTTAATTAATTAGTGAGTTTATTTAAGGTAATTAGTTAGAAGCCCTATTTTATCAGTAGCCTATGTCTGCCTAGCAGTTACAATGGTCAAACTACATTAAAACAGAATTGTCCCCATTTTACTTTAATAGTTACTAACATTAGATATTTTAATGAGATATGGACCGCAAAAAATGTGCCTGAATAACGAATTCAGCAGTTGGACATGAAAGTCAACTGAGTGTCACTTGCAATGACAGTGTTGTGTTTTTATTACATTACATGTCATTTGTTAGACACTTTTATCCAAAGTGACTTATACATTCAGTACTGTGGACAATCCCCACAGGAGCAATTTTGTGACACAACGACATGCTGACTGCAGTGGGACTCGAACTTGCTATCCCCAGATTCGAAGTCCAGCACACTACCCACTGAGCCACAGCCACCCCATTTTATTTCATGAACCTTTTACATTAAAAACAAGGGGGGAGGCTCTTTTTCCAGTTTAGAGCAATAGCCCCTCCAAATGTCTGTGCACATCCCTGCCGCAGAGCCATAAGATAAGTCCGATATTTAACCTGTTAAGCCCTGAGCCTGTTTTTCAGGTCTCAGGCTCGAAAATGACATTCCCAGAAGAAATGACCATATCTTCCCTTCTAAAAAGGTTAAATTAATAATCTTTTTTCTCAAAGTAATGATAAACCTGTGAGTTGGATGTAGAAAAGTCAGAATCAATATAGATGTTTTTTATTTTAAAGAAAATTCAGATTTTACATAGTAAAAAACTGTAAATTATAGTGTCCGTCCAAACATTATTTTTTACTTATAGTGAAAACTACCCTTGGATGATGGTAAGGTAGACTAAAAGCTTTAGGAATCCAAAGTACAACATATAATAAGTACCCTGTATCAAGATTGATGTAAAACAAGTGACATTTGACCTTTTTAGAGAGATTTAGCAAAAATAAACCACTTCTGGGGTCATTTGGGTGGATTTTCCATATCTTTGGCCTCCCTTGCTCGATTTTGATGGTTGACACCTCTTTCTGACCGTTAGAGCCAATAGAATCGAAGGGGGAGTCCCCCACACACACGTTGTGAAGAGAAAAGGTGGGGGCTGCGCGCATGTAATTTTTCATCAGAGTGAACCTATCTCTAGCTTTGACATCTGGAAACGGAAAAGCAGTTTTAATGCTTATGGATTATCATAAATCATTTCAAAGGGACACAGACACATTAGATTAACCTATGGATTAACTTCAGCAGCGTTTTTATCGTTTTAATGCCATTGAAGACCACTTTGGAGAGACTACAGAGCCAAGGTAAAAATGTTAGCATTTTTAGCTACCTAGCGTCACCTGTTTTGATGTCCGTTTTTGCTTATAACGTCGCAAATTCGTATAATTCAGTGATAATGTGGGTACCCATCGATTCTGTGTCACCTCACGATGTGAAACATGTCATGGATGTAGAGAAGAGATAAATAATAAGGTTTTGTGAGTGATTTTCGGTGCAGTAAGGTGTTAGCATTTTTCGCTCGTTGCTAATTTAGAGGCTCAGTGTTAGCATTGTGGGTTTTCTTTTAATTTTTTTTTAAAAATTATCAGTTAGATGAGTTTCTTCCCGTTACATGGATATAAAACATTCATAGTTTATTAAATGAACATGCCCTCAGACACTGTTTCCTGCAAGATGTTGCGGCAGTGCCCCGGTACCGGGGTCTCTCGGGCTTAACAGGTTAAATGAAGAATAATCCACCAGGCACAGACACAACAAACACATCAACGAGTTCAAGTTGTGTTCCCCGCATCAGCCTCGCAGCCTCTCCCCTGTAGCATCCTGGAGCTTACTGAGCTAACGGAGCTAGCAGAGAGACAGAAAGCTAGAAGCAGCACTCACTGTAGAGACCTGTCACTCAAGGTGACCACGCCCTAATTTATGCAAAAACATTAAGACCTAATATAACTAAAAGGGTTGCGTTATAAAACAATTCACCCCCCACACAGTAGTCATGAATGGGGAATCTAACTATACAGAGAATATGGTTTTGTTAACCACGATGTAGACATATTTATTTCTGCTGTAAAGTTGGTAATTTTAACATGGGGGTCTATGGAAATTGCTCCCTTCTGCAGACTGCTCCTACTGGCCACTAGATGAACTGCAGTTTGAGGCACTTCCTTATTGGCCTCCCGGCTCTGCCCAAGAGTTTGCCGCTTGGTTTAGACGTAATTCTGTCCTTCTGCATATCGCATCATTTATGAGAATACATGTCATAACATCAAGACAACATATTCGAGGTGGTTTCCAATAACATATCCGTATATTTATTTCTCCAAGTTACGTTTTTGTGTGCACTGAGGAGTCTCAAACAGGCATTTGTTTAATCATTTTAAGATTGGCTTCAATACATTTTTGCGAATTAATTCTTCATATATGATACATGAGAGGTAACATTATATTTATGGTATTATTTTCACATATTTCTCTCCAGTCTTCCTTCTGCCGGTGTCGCAGTTTCTCGTCTCTCCCGTTTTTGTGCGTAGTGCGTACGCATGAGTCAGAGTTTGCGTGGAGGACCGCACATTTTCCCGTCAAGTTTGTTTTTTATAAATCGCAAACATTGCTTAGAAACGGGCGCACGCCATCTTTTGAGCGTGCGCACCGTTCATAAATGAGGCCCCAGCTCTCATAGTATGCCTCTCATCCAATGAAATGACTTGGTCGCTCTATGACGCGCTGAACCCAATGTGAGCAAATTACACTGAACGCTGCGACACAGCACCTGAGATTACTTCCAAAAAGTTGTTCGCGTTCTCAATTTTTTACGTTTAACGTTATATTCGTTCGGTACACTTCGGTACATACGTGTACCGACCCGAAGGGCCCATACCGAATATTTTCGGTACGAATAAGTATACCGTTACACCCCTATGACTGAATGAAGTGCAGTTGATAAAAAAAAAGTTGAATGAAAAAAACAAGCGACCCATGGCAACAACGTGTGAATGGTCTGACAGAGTAAAAGCTTTTTCCCTGCCAGGCTCTAATCTTTAGTCAGTGAAAGTGCTTTTCAGGTTTTTATAAAAGGTCTGAAACCCTGTCCACACACTTTTCAAACGTTAGTCTGGCAAGTTCTATGACTCAGTCAATTCGTCACTCACGCCAACTCGCTGCCGGACTGGCTTGCATGCAAAGGTAGCGTACATACCTTGGATTTAACAGCTTAATTTAGAATAACATTTAAATCATAGTTGGGTTTTGAGACACTTTTGCCATTCAGAATTGTATTATAGATAATGTTAAGGATCGCTTAACCAGAATGGTACGTTAAAGCAAGGATAAGTAATGTATTTTAGATTTTTTTTGGGGGGAATTCTTGTTGACATAAATCAATAAATAAATTACTCTGGTGAGAAATCAAGTTGTTATCTGTGGTCAAATAATTAATTTGGCTGGAACGTAGCTATTGTTCATTATTTATTATTCATTATCTTTTCTTATCATTCCACACATTTTGGGGGTGTTTTGTTGTAGCAGCAGTTTTGAGATGCTTTTGACAGATTGTTGCTCTATTAGAAACATCATAGATATGTACTTGTGAAGTCATGGGAGAGTTGAGTGCAAAGTGGATCTGATGTGTACCTGCAGTGGTGTGGTGGCCAGCAGCTCACACAGCTGCAGCAGCAGGCTGCCCGGGCTGCTCTCGTTCACAGCCAGGTAGATTACGTTGGCCTGACCCGAGGGCGTCATCACCGTCTCCCCCACGAGCGCCGCCAGCGACACGGATGATGAGAAGGAGGAGGAGAACGAGGCCATGGCAGCTGCTCCTTCCATCGTAGCTGTATCCGTAACTCCCCTTCCTCCTCCTCCTCCTCCTCCTCCACCTCCTCCTGGACCGTTTCCCAAACCGGGCCCCTGCCCCTGACCCTGCCCTTGCCCTTGGCCCTGCCCCTGCCCCGCCCCCGGCTCGCTGACCCCCGCGCCTCCCACCGCCGCCGTCTCCGGGAGCAGGGAGGAGCCCGAGTGGACCACAGCGATGTTGACCCCACCCGAGTCCCTCTCTCTCTCCCGGGGCCGCAGAAGTAGGGGGGGCGAGGGGCGCACAGGCCCCGTGCAGGCCAGGACAGCGAACAGCAGTGAGAGGGCGGGCCTTGGGGCCACCATGGGGTAAGGGGAGGGCCAGTGGCAGCTGTCGGATGGGATTTGGCAGGTGAGGCCAGGTGGGATCTGGGGATTTTGGGGTAGTGGGTGACGTCTTTGGGGGGAGAGGGAGGGAGGAGAGGAGGGGAGGTGGGGGGGGGGAGTGTCAGTGGCTCACAGTGCTTCACCTGATGAGGAGAGGAGACCCTGGAGAGGAGGGAGAGAGGAGAGGATGAATACAAAATACTGCTGTCACTGTTCTTCTACAAACACAACATGAGATTTAAGAGTCACAGCCTTGTCCCTGTAAAACATAATATTTAAAATGATGAAACCCTTTAGTATCTGATAAACAATTTAAAGACAAATTCCACACACCACACTTACTCATCTTTGTTGTTACTGCTTCTGACTCACACTTCCTGTTAGTCTATAAACTTGCTGTTTACATGCCTGATAATTGAATCCTGCTGACATTTTGGATTAAAAAGACAACAATAAAAGCTAACAGATAAGTGTAGTGCAAAAACTCCGGAGTAAATACTTATTATCAACCAAGATATTGTCTAAATCAAATGGAGGATCTGCGGATTAGTACTATAGGTATAGGTATAGTGCAACATAGGTTTGAAACCTAAAGTGGAGCAAAGAGGCTCTTATTTCTGCAATTTTACCTAGGCAACACAATTAGACTTCTTGAAAATCTATTAAATCTCTGGAAAAAACATCTCTTAGACTGAGGGTCAATAGAAACATGTTAGAAGTGAAGTGCTCCAGTTAATGGCCTCTTTCCTCTCAAGGACTCAACACATGATTGGAAAATGTTTGCTCTCAGGGCTTGATAACATACTCAGACACATACGTTTCTGGCAGAAAAAGTAGAGGGAAATAGCACAATAGGAAGGTCAGGTCTTATCCTTCAAGACAGGAAGTACTGAATGGTGGTTTACTTTTCTTACGCAATGAGTTTTTTACAACATGCTGCACAGACTAAGGTCTAAGCCGCAGCACGCCAGAAGCACAGACAAGAGCAGGACCGCAGTGAATAAATGGTGAGTCCAAGCTGAATAAAGAAGCAAAGAAAGACCCGCAGGTGACAAAACGGACAGGGGATAAAGCGAATGATCTATGGAGGGAGAGAGGATAACAAATAGTAGAGTCAGCTGAAGCGGGGGGTACAGATGCAGTGTGTGTTTGTAAGGGAGAACAAAAAGACTACACAATGATATCAGCATATGTATGAGAGTGAGAAGCTAAAAGTAGAGAGAGAGTGAAAAGGAGGAGTGTCATGGCGCATTTCCACTACAGGGCCTCGCTCGGCCTCGCTCGGTATGGCTAGGCCTCGTTAGGCCTTGTTAGGACTGGCTCACTTTATGCTGCGTTTCCATTACAGTTTAGTAGCTGGGGCAGTAACTATAGTAACACAGTGTAGGCGGAGCCGTGACGTCATCTTCAATGAGAACCACAGAAAAACAACATCAGCCGTTAGCTGTTAGCACTCAAGCTCACAGCTCCTCATATCTGTTCAGAAACTAGACAAAAGTTAAACAAGTACAAACCACAGACATGTCATGGCGAATATACTGCGAATATACTGCGTTAGCTTAGCCGATCTCCATTTAGAAAACACGCATTTTAAAAGGTTTTTCTCCTGCCGTCTGTCTGCAGACTTGTCAAAGCATTAATTCATGGTTTGTACTAACCGGTATCAGCATGTTGTTACTTCGGCATCATTTTGAAACGTGTATTACAATTAAATCACGGTCAAATATGTTCATTTTGTTGTAGTTGTAGCCCCCTTGCCAGCGATTCTCTCTCTAGTTTAGCATACTCAGCCCGACTCAGCCTCGTTGTTGGCCCGGAAAGAACCTCGATTTTATGGGGCCAGAAAAACTGTGAAATAGTATCCACTAGCCGGTACTACGCCAAGTGGAAACGCAACCAAACAGCTCCGCGCTTTAGTGGAAATGCGCCATAAGTGTGCAATAGAGAAAAAAAGGCCAAGCTGTGCATCTGATTGTCTGATACGACAATGACACTCTGCATGCTACGGTATATAATGAGTATTGGCAATAGAAAGTGATTTGTGCATATATGACATAATGGCCAAGGCTAAATTCTTACTGTGTATAATATGGACAAGCATTTTCTTATTTCCATTACTAGTTGAATACGATTATGGAACAGTGCACTCGTTAAAATTGGCTGTTAATATATCGTCTAAGCTAAATGCATAGAATGTCAATGTTACAAGCTTTGTCTTATAATTTAAAATCTACAATATATTAAAGAGGAGTAAACATTTCCTGTATGGTTTTTGATTGCAAAGTCGTAGCTCAACCAGCAGTATCAAACCATTTTGATAATTGCAAAGTATAACATTATTGTGGTATTGACATTCATCCTTGAGAAATGCATGATTATCTAATTTGCGAGTAAATGAACAGATGGTGTAATACAACATAAAATCAAATATATCATCAGTTGGTGTAATACAGGGGTGGGGAACCTCCGGCCTCCGGGCCGTATACGGACCGCGAGACCATTTGATACGGCCCTCGAGGTAATTTATAAACACACGCAAAAAAGAAAACAATTAAAGAAATCTAGACCGCAATCTGGCATCTGGTTAGCTAGCTATGCTAACGAATATAAGAAGCTTTTTCTACAACCAGTGAGGTAAAGGCACATCTTTATATGATCATTATAGTTATAAAAAAATAAGAGAATAAAGTAAACAGGTATAAAATACTATATGACAGTAAAAAAAAGTTGTTATTAATAAACAAGAATACCGTTTAAAAGGGGAGTGATTTGTAAAATATCCATAAAGAAAAATAAAATCTGCTTACAGTTCTGTTTCATATGGGTGTTGAGAGATGTATCCATAGATCTCCTAATGTTGCTCTCAAAGTGCACCAGATTGATGCTTTAACTGGTATGGGTATTACCCTTGTGTTTCGTTTAGCTAAAAATGGTTCATATCGTCAGTTAGCTGAGTTTCTTCCTGTTAAGTGGGTATGACACATTAATAGGTTGTTAAATGTTAAGAAGCCCTGAGACACAGTTTTGTGAAAAGTAAGCCTGTATACCTGACATCATTCAACAGGTTAAATGATGTCAGGTGTCAAATGAATTTGAAATTTAAAATCCACATCTCATGTAACAACAAGCTGTATATATGACTGCCTTGTCTGGTTATTTCAATTTTCAAATCTGAAAAATATGCATAAAATATATTTGATAAGACATGAATGAATTTGCTGTAAACATGAAGATATAAAAATATGTGAAAGAAGTGAATTGGTATGGTTTACTTCTTATGGTAACGTAAATGTGGGGACATACATACAATATTAATAAAAGCAATCACCCTTATATAATCATCATCAAAAAGTGATGTTAAAGTGTACAGACCACGCCATGAGGACACTTATACATCCCTTCAGCAAAGTTAGAGGTTAAGCTTCTTGCTGGAGGGCACTTCAACCTAAGCTATTGAAGGAATGGAGAGTTGTAATTCACACTAAAACTGAACATTAGCCAAATACAAAATGTTCACAGACGCCTGACATAGCTGTCAAGTTATTTCCAAGATATTTTGTGTGAACAGCTTCTCCATTAGTGACATTAGCAAGCTTTTTGCTTCTGAATCTCTTGTATTTTTTTGTGGCTTGTGGTTCAGAAACCTTTTACACAGTTAAACCACTTGACAGAAATTACCCAGAGTATCAAGAACAGAAAAGTGAGTGACGAAACAATACAAAATGGCACATAGACAAGACATTTTACCAAATGTTAATATACCATATGTACATACGGACCTCAGCATCACTCTCAGTTTTTAGGAAATGCCTCAAGACCCACCTGTTCCACACCGCATTTTACTGACTGTCCTTTACTTTATTTATTTTTAAACCTTCTATGCTCTTAACCTTTTATTTTTATTTTTATATTGCCATATTTTATCCAATATGCTCCTTTAGATAACTTTTTACTTATTGTTCCTTATAGCTTTGTGAAGCACCTTGAGATGACGTTGTTTTTAAAGTGTGCTATATAAATCAAATGTATTATTATTATTATTTACCAAACTTGTGTTTTGACAGATGACCTGTCATGTGATATTCTATTAAGCTTTCAAAGAAAAATATTACATATTTTAGCTGTATGGTAACATCTTTCACTTCATTTATTTCACTGATGCCTCCAATAGAGAATTGGTGGATTGCTTAAATATGAAAACAAATGGTCTTAGTGATAGCATGTGTGAGCAGAATAGTCATTAATGTATTTTTAACAGAAACATCATTATGCACTTTATAATACAAATCAGTCTTATATGTTCAATGTTTGTTTCAGCTTTTGTCAGTTGTATTATTTGGGCATAATATAGGGATAATAATAAAGTAAGAGCCAGTCAGCATTCTGGTAAAGTAAAGTGGAAAGATAAATTGGGATCTCTGCTTGCTGCTTATGTAAAACCAGGCCTGACAATTCTAGCTGAACTGAACAAGGGAAAATTGAAGGGAATCGTGGAAGTAAAATACAGCTTGAGAAAGAGCCATGTGATGTTCTCAAATGTATGAAATAACAGCAGCAGGAGCGCTTCAGCGCTCATTTCTAATGTAGCCGTTGGAATAAACTGTGTATATTATGCAGTTCTTAACGCTCCAGAAGCACAAGAAGTACGAGCTCTTACACCTCAAATGCT